GTTTGGACGGGGGGGGGGGGGGGGGGGGGGGGGGTTCTGGTAGGATCATTTATTCTTTTTCACTATTTAAACAAAAACAAAACAAAACACATCCTAAAAGCTTTCTATGCCAGAACCGGGCCTCTCCTCTGACAAAGAGAACATTTAGCCACCTACAGAACTAAAAGATACATAAACAATAATAAGGAAATGAGCTTTTAAAGATCACACCTGGCCAATCTTCTTTTTTTTTTGGTTCAAAGTGTTTTTATGACTTGTAATATTTTATAAACCAAAAGATAAAATTACAAACTACAAGACACACAATTAACAGCCAACATTTATGAGAAGAAAAACATATGGGGCACATTTGCAAACATAGCCTATAATTCTATACATGCAACTGTGTGCATGTACCCAGGTGTGATTATAACAACTGGTTACATAAACACAGTAATTAAGCACATTATGACACATTCAAAATGTGTGTGTATATAATTAATGACTGGGAAAAGGACAAATTAAAATCTGGCCCCTAGTCTTATATAGAGAATTGCTGGGTGAAATTATCTGGCCTGCGTCAGGCCATAGGTCATACTTCTGGCCTTAACATCTCTAGTGAAATCCTGGCCATATTGAAGTCAATGTGAATTTTGCCACTGACTTCAGTGTGGCCAGGATTTCATGCTACAACTCTATCTGGAGTTTTAATAATAAATGCACTGTTACAGCTATGTTCTCTTTTTCAATACTTGCTTAATGACTAGGATATGAGAAATGCTCCCTCCACCCTTTCCAAAGTTACTTCTGAAGTATATGGGGAAAATCAACTCCTAAGTACAAATGGAAACTAAGGCAGAGAAGTTAAATGATTTCTCCAAGGTCTCTCAGCAAGTTGGGGGCCTGAGATGAGGAATCAGAAATCTAGATTTCTGGTCCCCTGTTCTTACTAGACCAATTCAATTTTCTTCTATTATAAAATTATCACCCAGCTCTATAGGGCAGAACCCCACAAGTACATGATCAACATTAAAGCTAAACACAAATTTAGTATATGATTTGAACCCACAGTGCCTTTTTGAAAGCACAAAGCTTCCAATTTAAAACAAAAACAAAAAAACCCAAAAGCAAACTCTGGAAAAAGATCGAATGTCAAGCATAGAATCTAATGCAAGACGAAAGAACTTATGACTGAATTACTATAAACAGCACTCAGCAGCAAATTTAAATATAATGCAGCTAGGAATATATGTTTATTTTTCTAATTTGTCAGATATTTTTTCTGTCAAAATTAGACATCTTACCCTGTGTGCATACTCCTCCATGAGCCTAAATTCAGTGGTTGTGAAATTAATAGCTTGCACATTTGTGCCAAACCTAAATAAATCAAGACAAGAATTTAAGTATTTAAACCCAGTTTGTCAAAACATCACTGCACACATTTTTGGAGAAATTGCAATATTGTTGTATGTTGGCACTTATTCTTAGGGCAAGAATACTTCTACCATTGCATTTTAGCAGATGTGGAATATTACGGAAACAAAGATCTGCATATTAATGGATTGCATTACAACTAAGTTTCATGAATGTGCTGTTCACTCGGAGAACAAGGTGATGTTTGGGCAAGGTCAGATTTTTCTCCCCCCAAAGTAAAATATTATAATCAAAGATTATACAAGAATCAACAACTGAAATTCCTAAGCAAGATGTAAACACAAAAGCAGAACATCCTTGGCCATCCATATAATCTTTAGGAAACATTTCATATCAGAGATTAGTGAAAAATTCAGAATGAATAATTTATTCAATAAATGTTGTCCCTCTTTCTGTTCATGAATTACCCAGGAATAGATTGTGGTTTTCTCTAACTTATTTTTAATTTGCAAAAAATATTTGCAACTAATTTTTTATCTGTCTGTGAACAATTCAGTTGCAAGTATTTGATATTTGTCACTCGGGCTATTTGGAAAGGGCATACCAAACAGATTTTTGTTCAATGGGGATAAACACTGCTCTTAGAAGTAAGCATCTCGTGTTGAATATTTGTAAACATGAATTCAAAACTCACTTTCAATGCAATTCTGCAATATTTGCTTAAATCACTTCAGTGAACATTGCTTCCAACACTTGCTAGAAAATGTGTAGAAAGTAAATACAAAAGGATGCAAATGCAAAGAACATTTGTTAAAAAATTGGAATTAATATTTGTGGACATTCTTTTCTAGAATTCACACAAATATAGTTATTAGTTTGAGTACATTTAAAAGAATTATGATGTTGAGGAAGCAATTAAATAAGGATCTGGGCCTTGACTCAGCAAGGTACTTAAATAGGTAACCAACTTTAAGCATGTGAGTAATCCTAATGATTATAAGAATGAGAGTGAGTACTCAAACTAACCTAAAGTCGGTCCCTTTCTCCCATCTCTTTCCCCTCTCTCCACACAGCTTATACCAGCCAAAGAACTCATATGTCTTTCAGGGAGTTGGCTTAACTATCCTGAGAAAAGAACTCATTTTGCTGATATAGATAGCATCTTCATTTGCGGGCTTTGCCAATGCAGCTATAGTAGTAAGCCCTTTGAAGTGTAGACTAAAGCAGAGAGTCTTTCTGTGTAGAGCAGTTCCCATAACCCTCCTACTCCTTTGAGTGCCCCTAAACGCTCCCTCTCTGAATTCAGGCTGCCTTTATTTCTTCCAGAAGGCCTAATTCTGAGTCACATGCCCCCATCACAGACCCCTTGACTCACAGCCTTACCTCCCCAGGTGAAGGCTATATCCCAACCCCCAGAAAAGACCAGCTCAGCCTCTGACAGGCATGTGCTTCTTGAATCCATGCCTTGGGGTTTATCATATAATAGTTGTATCCACAAAGACAGTCATATAACGTACAACCAAGGTAGATTCAACGTGATCATTATACACCATCAAAAATGGGATTTAAGATTATGGGGAACCATGCCTCGAGGTAACTTATGATTTTTTTAAAAAGTTAAAACAAGTGCTGAGTAACAATGCTAAGGGACAGAAACAGATCACTAATAAGGAATATCAGTATTCTGAGATAACGTTATATTCATTACCATTTGCTGAGCAGACTCAGTGATGCTTGGGGATCAGGATAGTAAGACAGAGGCAGAAGTTGTAGCGTAACTGGGAAGGATGAGGGGTTTCTTAGCACAAAATATTTTACCTAAACAGTTTGGGGGAAAAAAGTTAGAACTACATACTTGTGTGCTAGAATTCTGAAACAAGATAAAATAATTCTGCATTGGTAATACTGGCCTCATTTTCAAAGGAGACTCAACCTGACTTCTCTTTTTGCACATTAGAATTTTACATGCACAAAACTACATGCAAAAGCTGGGCATGTGTGTACAATGTTTCTATATGCAAAAGCAAATGGTAGTGCTTGAAGAACTACATATGCAAAAAGAGAGGCTATCTTGTCAAGATATATTCTTTTTATTTCGACTTATTATCAGGTCACACTGGTAGACAGGAACAAAGTTTACCCAAAGAAACAGGTAAAGTGTGTAAGACACTGTTCTTCCTCACTTAAAAAATGAATGATGGGGGACTAGCTGGCTCATGCTATTGCTTAATAATTTAACATACATACATTGAATATTAAGATAATAAATAATATTTGCATATGAAGCCTTTCATCTCCATATGACAGGTTCTAACCAAGACCAGGTTAGTAGTGACCAAATGTTGCCCAATGAGAACTGAGTTGCTGGGCCAGTCTTGTTCCAAGAAGACATACGTCATCTGATAATCCCAATCAGGGATATTTCACAAGCACAATATTCACTCTTAAAAGATGTATGCATGGGGTGATAAAGATTAATGTGGAATTATAAACATCACTAATAGTAAAGCTCATCACAACCAGGAGCAGCCCTAGATGTTTTGCTGGCCAGCACAGAAAATGTTTTCAGGCCCCCCCAAGCTCAAGCAAAACAAACCAAAACAAACAGCTAATCGGGAGGGAAGGGAAAAAAAAAAAGTGGGACAGCAGTTCAGTGCTCCCTGAAAGCTGGTGTCCAGGGTGACTGCCCTGTTTGCCAGCCCCTAGAACCGGCCCTGATCACGGCATATCCAAACATACTGTTCCATGTTATTCATTAGTTTTATAATAAGCTACTCTACTCTAGCTGATGAACGCGTTAACAAACATTTCAGAAGGTGAGATCTACAGTATATGGCTAAATCCTCAATTTATGTTAATATATTAAACTAGATACTTCAACAATTTAAACTGGAGCCAATCAGATTATAAGAAACTGGTGTCTTGAGATGTACTGGTATGGAGTTTTCCAAAAACCTTTTTCAAAACCAGTTTGAAAACAATATAAAAACATTGTGTATTAATAATGTTGAACTGGAATCTTCATAATTTAAACTAGCTAAAAATATACAAACTCAGATAAAGCTTGAAAATAGTTATCATTACCATACTATTCTTAAGTGCAGTTGCACTAAAGTTTAGTGTCAGGCCAGGCTCTGTAATCAAACGTGGCAAAAAGAAAGCAAATGACTCCTCCTCTTCAGGCTTCTTATGGTGAGCAATGAGAGTCATTCCCAAAAAATTCCTCCTGTTTAATTGGTGAAAACAGAAAGCTTTGTTAAAACCAAAAGAAATTGATTTTAGTCTCTTGACATGAATTTTCCAGGAGCACTTCGTTATGGTAGATAACCTTTTCTTGGGGGGGAAAAAAGGCCTTTAACAAAATAATGCCCATAGGACTGTGACCCTGCATTAACAATCAATTTAAATTCATTTGTCCCTGATACCTCTGCTTTCATACCTGTAACGTAAAGACTCCCTGTTTATACAGCTCCATTTTCTCATCCTGGAATGGGGCTGATGTCAATGCTTCACCAGCTTGACAAGGACTGCTCATGCACAGACACACACTTTTCCCTTCCCCATGTCCCCAATGTGTCGCATCCATTAGGCAAAGGAATAAAGAGCTTAAAACCTATTGAAAACCCATGACCCTGAAAAGACTACTGTGCAACCTGTTGACAGAGAGGATTTGTGCAGCTTCCATATTTTGATCCTGTGAAACATGCTTTGTTTTCTTTCAGAGTGACGTAGAAGTGGTGAAGTTACTACAGTCAAAAAGTTATTTACATTCAATGTTCAGGTATTTAAAACAATTATTTACACTGAGTTAAAATGGGAGATGAGGTGCTTAGCTGCTCTGAATCTCAGGACACCTAATGGGAAGACTAACTTTAGGCACCAAAGCCTGAAAGTTTTTGCTCTTATTTTCAAGTATATTAGTATAGCACAGCAAGATTTGTTTCTTATAATACAATTTAAAGTTTACTACTAGCTACTGGAATTAAGAACATGAACAGTCTTTGTACAAACCTGCAGGCTTCCCCATGTTTTACTTTCTGCCATCTTTCATAAAGCTCACTTGCAAGCTCAGAATCCACATTCCACGTAGAATGGTCCAGAGACAAACTCCCTTTCCAAAACAGATTTGCTAAAATGATAATAGATTTTCCATATTTTACTAAAATAACATTTACTACCTTTATCACTCTGTCCCATAACTTGAAGAACTGATATCAATAAAGAAAGCTATTTTAAAAAAAATAGGTACACGTGTGTGTAAATTGGAATTTGTACAACCAATTGTGCATGCTTTTGTACACTCAAGTAGGACTTTTTTTTTTTGCTGTATCTTACATTTGGAATTTAAGGGCTATATTTCATCACAGATTTTTAAGCAGAACTCTTAACTGATGTCAATGGGATATACGTATCATAGTTCAATATCTCTAAAATGGTGCAAAATTATGTTATAGCACCCGCTAGTAGCCAATAATCATTTCCATTTTAGCTCCCCTTTTCCAATTGCTGATAATTTTCTCAAACAAACAAATTCCATTAAAGTAAAAAATATATTTTGAAAGTTAGAACTGGTTCAAACATTTTTGAGTTCTGTGAGCAGGAATTAGAAAACTGGAATATTGTGTTTGCTACAAGTTACTAAAATCCATGCAGAGGAGCAACAATTTAAGAAATCAGGATATTCTTAAATGACGTAAAACTTACTCGTACCAATCATCTATATATTTGTACTACAAATCCAGCAACAAATACAAATTTTTTTCTAGCTACTTTTTCTACATTACCAAACTGCTAATAGAGGCCTAAAAATAAAATAAACCTACCTGTATCAGACTTTCCCAAGTAGCAGTGTATATCACAATGTGCTATGGCTTCAAAATGAAGATCCCCCTGTTGAAAAACAATGCTTGAATATCTGACAAAGCAACACTGTAAATAAAATAAATCTAGATACAATTAACCAATGAACATTACAAACTTTAATCAATCAAATGTATTCAAGAACAGTAAGCCTGAAGCATTGTAGCCCTTGTTTTGGATGGATGATACACCACTTTATGATTCTGCATGAATAGAGGTTGGATTGAGCTCCCTTTGAAAACATGGCCCAGTAGATCCTTCCCATCCCTTATTCTAGGATTTACTATTCCAAAAAGTCTAATACCTATTAATGAAGATTACTAGGCTCTAGAAACAGTAAGATCTAAAAAAAACAGAACCTTAATTATGCTCCTTTGTGCATACATATGATACAATCTTTAATTACATGATCATATACTATTTTTCCATTGGTTCCCTACTTCATTCAGTGCATGGGATGGACATACCAAGGGGAAGTATTTTGGTGGCATGGGCAACCATAATTCTGTCATTTCCCCACTTCTGAGCACTTGGCTTTGCAAGCTAAATAACGTTAACATAGCTTTTTGTATGTAATATACATACAAGTCAGTGGAATACAATACCTTGGACAGAGTTGAATAAATCCGTAGAGGTATCGCAAACATCACTCCTACATTTGTAGCCAAAAATACATTAGAAAATACATTTATTACAGTGTCTTTGACACTGAGCTTCAAAGAAAATACATTCCAACAGCCTGGAGGTAGAGTCAAGGGTTCAGTGAAGTTCAGAATCTAGAAGAAAACAATCAGATCAGATCATATTGGCCAAAAATTGTTTGTTTGTTTTTAAATCAAAACTGCGAGAATTATTTAAGTGTACTTTTGGATAAGAATTATATACTTCTAAAGTGATATTTGCTCCTAATTGTTTTGCTTCTACTACCATGAAATTCTTAACTCCTATATACATATATGTAAAAAACATTGGTCATGAGGGTAAACTTATCAGGACACTGTAAAGTACCTTTTTAAATACAACTGCATTTGATTTTTAAAAATTCACATGCATTTGCACACCTAATTTATCTTTGCAACTATTGTGACTGCACATATGAATCTGGGATCTGAGTGCACAAATGGCCAATTCAATGTCTAGTTTGTCATTTGAGCATGCACACATCAGCTTTGTTTGTTCTAATGAAGCAATTACATACATTTTTTTGCCTAAACTTCTAAAAATAAGACCCCTCTTTTGTAAAATCTTTAATAACTTTGCACAAAGCTCGTCCACTCACCAAAAGATTTCCAATATGAAGAGAGATTCACTCTTAACATGTACCAATAGCATAAGTAGCAATTGTGAGAACATTGACTATGACGGCAAAATTCTGTACTTTAATGCACACGTACAACTGCTACTGCAGCCAGAATTTACTCTAACATATACTAAAACAACCATCACACTGAATAATGGACCATAGCCTTCTGGAGCCTGATAACGGCACACAGCACTTTGCACTAACTCCCACCGAATTCAATATGAATTGAGGACACTCAGCTCCTCAAAGAACCTGCTCAGCAACTTGAAGGACATTAAGGAAAAGACATTATAGGATTCTAAAATAAAACTTACCTTTAAAATGTTCTTAGTCTCTCTGGCTACAAAGACATCATTTAGTTCAATGCTAAAGTCAAACTTGTTTGTAAACCATATAGACCAAAATCCTGAAGTGTTGTGATGTGGCTCTATGTGAAATAATGCTGCAGAAGGGTCAACGCCAAAATACCTGTAGAGAGAAACAGATTAAAAATGTAAGGGTCCTTGAACATGCAAAGTAATTCACACAGACAGACAGATAAAAGTATCACTGTTGGGAAATGAGCATTTTTAAGGACTCTGGAGGAAGAACAAATTATTTTATTGAAAATACAGTAAAAATTAGAAGACAAAGTGTAACTCTAAGAGGGATGGATAGCTAGTCATAGTACTGTCTCACAACTTTAGAGTACAATGCTGCCTAGTGCTTTCCCTGTTATAATGTGGTAGCTGTGATAACACTACTGAGTCAAGACTAGAAAAAATGTTCAATTTCCAGTTTTCCATTAGAGTACTGTTCCCATAAAGTAGGAAAAAGAGATAAGTAAATTTATCTCAGATTTTAAATAAGGCCTATGTGACCTTAACTGTTTAAATTTCTTCTTACTGAATCTTGAAAGTTTATGTGTATGAAATACAAGACTATTCTATGAAATGCCACAGGGTTTTATTTTGTTGAAAGACACGGCAGCAATATGCAGCAGTCTGGGCACTCGTGCTTACTACCATTAAGTGAGAAAGTTAGCTTGCTTTGACTCTACAGCATATATTTGAGTACATTTTACAGTTTCCTTACAATTCTAGCGAATGTTTAAAACAGGGGTCAGCAACCTTTCTTCATTTATTCACTCTAATTTAAAGTTTTGCCAGTAATACATTTTAATGTTTTTAGAAGGTCTCTTTCTAGAAGGCTAGGTCTACACTACCCGCCTGAATCGGCGGGTAGAAATCGATCTCTCGGGGATTGAATTATCGCGTCTCGTCGGGACACGACCATCGATCCCCGAATCGATGCTCTTACTCCACCAGCAGAGGTGGGAGTAAGCGTCGTCGATGGGGAGCCGCGGAGGTCGATTTTGCCGCCGTCCTCACAGCGGGGTAAGTCGGCTCCGATAGGTCGAATTCAGCTACGCTATTCACGTAGCTGAATTTGCATATCTTAAATCGACCCCCCCCCCCGTAGTGAAGACCTGCCCTCTGTCTATAATAAGTAAACTACTGTTGTATGTAAAGTAAATAAGGTTTTAAAAATGTTTAAGAAGCTTCATTTAAAATTAAATTAAAAAGCAGAGCCCCCCGGACCGGTGGCCAGGTCCCAGGCAGTGTGAGTGCCACTGAAAATCAGCTTGCGTGCCTACCCCTGGATTAAAATAATCCCACCATCAACCTACCCTTCCATCACAGGATGGGAAAGACATGCTTTTAGTGTTGTGGTGCCTTCTAATGGATTCATCTTCACATCACTAGTATAATGGCTTTCATTGTTACATGATGCAGCTGTATAAATGAAAAGTAAACATATATATTTGAATAAAATCTTTGTAATAATAATGCTTTTCATGTAAGGATTTCAAAGACCCTTACAAAGAAAAGTCTGTCTCAACAGCTCTACTTTACAGAGGGCAAAATCAAGGGATGTGAACGTTAATATTCTGATTTTCAGATGTGCTGAGTATCGACTTAAAAAGGATTTATGGGTGCTCAGCACTTCAGAAAATCAGACCAAAATCTTGATTTGTCCAAGATCAAACAGGGAGTCAGTGGCAGAGCTCAAGTCTCCTGACTCCCCGTCCGCTACCCTAGCTACTGAACCAAGCTGCTACCCTCAATAAATAAAAGCATGCCTGGGAAAATAAAAAACTCACTCTACTGCTCTACCGCCTTCTTTGCCTTCTCTTTCTTAGAAGGACGAGTCCCACACTCATTATGAAGTAAACTCTTTGAGAAAATGTATTTTGTTGTCCCCGTCACCACTCCCAAAACAAACAGACAGACAAACCAAAACACATGTTTTTATAAGAAGCAGAGGAAAGAATTTGGAAGCACTGACCAGGAGGGTGAAAGCATAACAAAAATGTGCAGGGCACTACTGAGTACAACAGTGACAAAGTTTGCATGACAACAGTGATCCGAATCAGGGAAACTAAATAAAAATTTCAGTAATAATGCAGTAGCTCAGCAGTTCTCAAACTGTGGATCAGGACCCCAAAGTGGGTTGCGACCCTGTTTTAATGAGGTCGCCAGGGCTGGCATTAGACTTGCTGGAGCCCAGGATCAAAGCTGAAGCCTGAGCCCCACCACCTGGGGTCAAAGCCAAACCTCGAGGGCTTCAGCCCTGAGTGGCAGGGCTCAGGCTTCAGTCCCTTCTTCCTGGGGTCGTATAGTAATTGTGGTTGTCAGAAGGGGTCATGGTGCAATGAAGTCTGAGAACCCCTGCAGTAGATCATCAACATGGTCTAGTGCAGAGGTAGGCAAACTACGGCCCGCGGGACCCTCCTCCCCGGCCCCAGAGGCTAGCCCCCGGCCCCTCCCCTGCTGTTCCCCCTCCCCTGCAGTCGGGTGGGGGTTCCGGGGGCGGTCAGGGGACAGGGAACGGGGGTGGGGTGGATGGGGCAGGGGTCCGGGGGGGACGGGGGACATCAGGGAACGGGGGGAGGTTGGATGGGGCAGGAGTTCAGGGGCGAGAAGCAAGGGGGGGAGAAGGGGGCAGGGGCCGGGCTACACCTGGCTGTTTGGGGAGGCACAGCCCCTGGTCTAGTGGTAAGAGCATGGGACTGGCTGGAAACAGCAACTTCTAAATGTTAACCCTAGCTCTTCCACAAACATGCAATTCTCTCAAACCATCCTTACAAAAACTGCCATAAAAATTTACCGCCCAAGCACAAAAGTGTACTATTTAAGTAAGTATTTAAAAAAACTATTTAAGTACTATTAAAAAAAAAAAGAATCATCTAAATGATTAAAAGGAACCTAAAAAGTACATTCAATACATGCTGGCAATCTTATTAGTCACCCACTTTCCCTTCCTGTTAATATGGCCTTTACTGAATCTAAGATCGGGAGGGGTGGGGGGGAGCACATGTGTGTGAAAGTGACAGAATGATACAAAATAGGATGGAAACAAAATAAGTACAAAGAATTCTTCCTCGTCCTAGCCCAGTATGTTTTAAGAAAGCAAAGTTGCACAGACAAGTTGGTCTTGATCCTTTTCTGAGTATCTTATAAGGTAAATATGTACCTCATGTAATCATATTATACACACAAAATATACATACTGTACCTTTACAAACAATGGAAGCAACTTTTGTAAAATTTGTGGTTGAAGAAGGAAGTTGTGTTGGCTCAAACTGCACAGATGATGTATCTTTTTGTGAGAAACGCTGTATGTCCTGCATTAAAACGATATATTACCAATCCCTGTAGCACAATTACTGTTACTATATTTTTAGTATTTGTTTAATTCGTCTTCATGACAAACTTAGAAGGAACTGTCGTTTATCATATGTGATAAATAGTTTTGTGGATTTATTTAGGTTAATGGGCACATTAAAAATCATTATCTGAGCTGTAGCTCACAATCTACAAATTCTATTGGACATATATACAAACTTAAATGTGTTAAATGCATCTTAAAATAAAGAAGTGTGCTATTTGGCGACAGCAGAAAGTAAGTAGTCAAGCTAGTTAATATCCTAATTAAATTCAATACCTCCGAATATGATTGCATGAAGAACATAATTACCTGTATATGTAAAACGTTGTTCCCTGAATGCAATACATACATGTTTACTGTGGAATCATCTGTCCAAAAAAATGAACATCCAGATAAGTACCAAAGATCAAAGTACCACTGCTTTGTCAGACATTAATATGAGAAACAATATCTAACATATTCAAATGAAAATTAGGAGATAGAATTATTCTATGTGAAAATATGTGTCTTGTAAAAATTAAAAGTTAATCACACATTGGGCCTGACTCTCCTCTCATGCCATGTTATGCTGGTGTAAATCCACCTTGCCATATCTTTGGCCCTAATTATGGTGGCAAAAATCGGCTGGAAAGCTGGCATTGCCACCAGCTCCTAAATCCCCAGCTGGCACACAGCCCTATCCACAGAGCCAGCATAGCCTCCCTTTTTCCAGGCCATGGTATAGTGTAGCCCATAGGGATAGGTATTTGCCAAGTAAGACAGGGGTATAAGTTAAGGCAGAACCATTACAAGGCCTGTAAAACAATAGCTTAGGTAACAAAGCATAAGGCTCAAAAGCCTTCGCATACGCAGTTATCTAGGAGTAACCCTAGATTATAAAAGAGACAGGACAAAATGTAGTAATAACTAAACGGCTGACAGGTAACACAAGATGCCAATTTATATCAGCTTGGGATATTTTAAGTTAGGTACATCAGCAGAGGTCTGACCACAAGAGTACCATGGTAATTAACAAGCTTGAGATAAATAAGCGAGTAACCTAAGGGAGAAAGGCACCCCAACATTAGTAGGGTGAGGAAATACAAATAAGGAAAAGAGGAAAAAACTCTACTGTGAATATGCATTAGGCATAGTGGCAGTGTAACATTATAAAAGTTGCATCTCGGCCTGTGTGGGAGATGTAACTCTTGGGAGACCCCAGGGTGGTGACCACTGGCGGTGATGGTGAGTCTGATGATGAGGATGATAACAAACACTTCAGGTTCTTTTGCAAGGGACGGTGTGAGTACATGAATGCTCAGAGACACATTCTGAATTATCTCTATCCACCTTGCTGGGCTGGAATGTTTGTAACTTTTTTCACTATGTTAATAAAACTTACAAACACAAAAGGTTCTTCCAATGTATGAATGTTGTAACCATGCACATTGGGGTTCCCAACTGAACAGTAATTTTAATAAATAGTGGGCATGATCTTGGGACAAGAACCTACCAAGTCTCAAAGTGCTAACTGGAAATTCCTAAGTAATCAAAATAATTCATCCAAAATCAATAGATCATCCAACAATAGGAAGTATGGCTGCCAGAGAAGGGTGTGGCTAAAACTGCACTAAATTACTGTAGGGGCCAAAGTAATCCCAAAATCAGGGATTCACAAATGTGCTCTAAAGCCTCCCTTGCACACACACATACAAGCACATACACCCCAAATTTGCAGGCCCACAGAACACATGATCTGGCTTACTGACTTCAACAGAGTTACTCTCGATTCACATTGGTGTAGCGAGAAGAGATGCAGACTCCAAGTCTCTCCAACTTAAGCACATCAACATAAAGAAAATTAACAAACATTATTATCTGAAGTTGAAAAGCTGCCCACAGGACCATCAAGGCAAAAGATCTATAACTTCCCACTGCCAGCATCATAAAGGAATTATGACAGGCCTTTACCCTAGTGTATAGGGATTTATGATTTGCATTATACTGAGGAAGTATATAGCTTTTTTAAAAATGCTCTTCTATCACCTGAATCCATTAAAAAGGATGTTACAGCCATACCCCTGGACATGACAGATGTGAACATTTATCCACAAGTGTAAGAATAAATATGCTTCCACAACTCAGTGCAACAAAACACTGCTATCTCAGATATGAGGGAAAATAGATTTACTGCGGACATATCAGCTCCATCAGTCAAATGTAAATATCACTCCAGTCAATTACCAACCCTTTCAACTACATAGCAGGCTCTGGAAGAACGATAAATGTGTTTTGCACCCAGACCTTGAAATGTGGTAAAAATGATAATTGAATCATTTATCTGTTTTGATGAGTCATTTTTTCTTCTACCAGACAGTACAATTGGCAGAAAACAATATTTTTGTTCCAAAAAATCTAAACAATTATAAAGGTAATGGTGTGCTATAAATAATTAAAAATCAAAGATATCTCATCCCTTGGATTTGGAGAAAAATTATCTATTTACCCAACAAACGTATGATACAAAAAGTTTAAGTAGATGGTTACTTCGCATGTGGAATTCTAGCCTCCAAAAATGATGATACGAAGATCCTTTGTATTATATTATTACAGTAATTTCCACAATGCCTGCTCTTTCTAGATCCTGATTTCTTTGCAGGTCTAGTTCTGTTAATCTAATTCCTTGGAAATTAGAATACATCAATTGCACTTTTGCTGAAAGGTGGAAACAAAAGCAATCATCACTACCACACATTTTGTACTATTTAAACAGACACCTAAGAAAAGGATGTTTCTGTTCCATACAAAAATCTTAAGGGAAAAAGTAAAGAATGTAACAAATGTAGTTTACAACTGCAGATGCTTGCTACCTCTTTCATTAAGAAACACCACCACAGTAATTCTGCATTAAACACAAAATGTCAAACAGTTTCACTTCAGTAATCTGGCCTTCTCATTAAACAGCAAAATAAAGAGGATGTCACTGAGATCAATATATTTTTGAATACTAGATTCTGAAGTGTATATAAAAGCAATTTCTATTAAAATTAACAGTCATGTCTTGGACTTACCTGAGGTCTCAGTTTTGTCCATTGCTACATAAACTACAAAAAGATTCTCCAGTAAGTACTGTCTGTGATCCACAAATTCCTGTTGGGAGTTTTCCATTCTTAGTACTAAGCTCATTTTTAGCAGCACTGCATCGTCAGACATAAAACAGCAACTCTGGAGTGACATAAATGAGGGGGAAAGGTGGTGGAAAAAAGGAGGGGAAATTTCATAAAATAATCTGATTTGAATAGAACATACTGAATTGATGGTCTCAGCCAATTTCTAATGGACAAATGTTCTATGTGCATCACAAAGGTACCAATCCCGGGGCAGTAATTAGAACTTTGATGGAATTCTCAGTAGAGGCAGAGGACTGCACAGGTACAGAGAGCAAATTCCACTCAAACAGGGACTTTCTGGGGGCAACATGGGGAAGCCTTCCCTGGCAACGTTGCGCCTCTTTCTGGATAAACAGAAAGCTGCAGTCTCCAGGACGCATTCTGCAAACACTCAGTTCACACACACACACCCCTACACAAAAAAGTAAAACCAAAGCATAGCACAATGGGGTCCTGGTCAATGACTTGGACTCTGAGGTGCCATAGTGATACAAGTGATAAATAATAATAAACATTAAAACGACACTAAGGATTAAGCCTCAAAAGAATCCCAATGTAACAGTAGTTTCAACTGGAAGGTCTGGCCTTAGGGACTGTAAAACATTTTCATTTGTAAAATCCTTCACTCTGAATAAGGTGCACTATAAACAGACTAGCGGAATGAATTCCAAAGGTGGGGAACCTTCAGATGTGCAACAAAGAATGTCCAAGTTCAGGGACTGAGAGAAAGAGCACTCAGCTGACCTTAAATAGTATGGTGAGGTATAAGGTAAGAGAAGCAATCTGGATCCCAGACGTCTCACAGCCTTGAGATTCCAAAAGACAGAAGTGGAAAACATCCAAAATATTTATATAAATAGTATTCTATTATTGTTTAACAGTGTGATTAATCGTGATTAATTTTTTTAATCGCTTGACAATACTTTGCAATGCCAGCTACAAAAGTGCCATGCAAACGTCTGTTCTCACTTTCAGGTGACATTGTAAATAAGAAGCGGGCAGCATTATCCCCTGTAAATGTAAACGAACTTGTTTCTCTTAGCAATTGGCTGAATAAGAAGTAGGACTGAGTGGACTAAAGTTTTACATGGTTTTGTTTTTGAGTGCAGTTATGTAACAAAGAAAAAAAAATCTCCAGTTGTAAATTGCACTTTCATGATAAAGAGATTGCACTATGGTACATTTATGAAGTGAACTGAAAAGTACTATTTTTGTTTTTTATTTTTACAGTGCAAATATTTGTAATAAAAATAATATAAAGTGAGCACTATACACTTTGCAGTCTGTGTTGTAATTGAAATCAATATATTTAACAATGTAGAAAAACACCCAAAATATTGAATAAATTTCAATTAGTATTTTATTGTTTAGTAGTGCGATTAAAACTACGATTAATTTTTTTTGAGTTAATCACATGAGTTAACTGCAATTAATTGACAGCCCTAATTTTTAAACCTAAAACCCTGGTCAGTGTTCCATTAAAATGAAATGTACATGTCATACCTTAAGTTGTTGGCACATATTGTTATGTAAACTGCATTCAAGATGAACTTGTAAGAGACTGGCATTCGTAGTTTCTGCCTAGAAAAGGAAAAATTAAGACAACAGTTCAAAGTGTTTGATTTAACAGATTATATCCAGTCAAATTTGGCCCAAAGTTTACATTTTGTAAGGCCAATAAAAACTATTCCCATTACATTTCTATTGAGATTCCAAAAGATACAGTGTTTTTTCTCTAATATGAAGGCTTTTGAAAGCCAAGCTTTTACACAAAATCTAACATTTTCATTTGTTTTTAAAATCCATAAATCCAAATCACTGGTTTTAGATACATGTTTTTGTGCAATATATGTCACCCAAACATTGCATCACTGAGAACCTCCCAGTGAAAGCTGACTATAAATGAATGTGAAGTTGACTTCGTTATTTTCATTGTACTAGCTGAAGGAAATGCAAAAGGCAAACAAAATAGCGAAAAACAAATGGCAATGTTGTTAATTCTTTCAATTTCAATAAAATGTAATCCCTGACAGCAAGGAGATCAGTTTAAAAAAATGTTTTGTTTTTTTTAATTTGACTATTATTTTAGGGTAATATGGCAGCCAATATCACTGCTCAACGAGAAACAGTATCATTTCCACTCCTACTTCCATGTCAAATTATTATTAAACATTTTATACAGTAGCAACATATGATGGACTCTTATAAATCTTAAGCTCCTACTTGATTTTCTCCTATAATGCCTTTTTTTACATACAATAAAAGCTTCCTTCCTTGTTTTCCTGTATATTTTCTTTGAAAAACATATTTAAAAAACTGCTGGTAGGCTAAATTTGTGGTAAGATTTCCTGGATGCAGCCTTGATGTTCAGGCCTCACACCAAAACAAAGAAATAAAACAACACAAAACAGAGAAATTATTTTCTGTTGCTTCATCTTTTTATTAATTTGAAAGAAAAAAAATGAATGTGTTTATTTTGCCAGCTTATAAAATGTTCATGCAGTAGCACTGTCTAAACTTAGCCAGACATAATGCATGCAAGCTATGTGAAATATTGTCATACATAGTATGTCATACCAACAATCCATAATAATTCTGTGCTTCTCCTTATCAGTGATTGTCAATTATGCCAAATTACATGATGGTTTGGGGACTAATTTAAGATCACAGTCAATTTTTCATTTGTGACCTCACTCAAATTTGAATCAAGGTCTCCAAAGATGCAAGAGCCAGTGTAATCTACTCAATCTTTTCCTTTAAAAAAAACTGAAATCATTTGAAGTTGAAAGAGGCAGAACTGTGAAAGAAATGTTAAAAGGTGCCATACCCTAATGCATATTTTTATCTCTGATGAGCTTTTGTATAAAAACCTCACAGGAAATCCATTCCATTATTTGCTCAGGGAAGAGACATGCATTTAAAATCCTGAAAGAAATACAATCAGGAGGAGTCACTTTGAAGCCTTTTTCTACAGATAAGGTGGTGGTGGTTTTATCACACAGTAAATTCACCACATGCATAATGCTTCTTCTATAATGTGATGTGTGATTGCATAAGAGCACAACAAAACAAAAAGTCAACATGATTTCTTTGGTATTCACTCAGTTTATATAGCAAATATTGCAGAATCCCACAAGGGGGAGTTCTAACACCTCCAAAGGTTAATCACATAATTTAAAAAACAATTTTAAAAAACTCCTTTTTTAGCACAGCACTATTGAGGAATGGGAGTCTCAACCAATTCACCTCTTTTTGCAATTTCACCTTTATTTTGTCCTAATCAAATTATGCAAGTAGATCAAGCTCTTAAATCCAATATGTGCATCATGAATTAACCTTCTACAGCTATTACTGGCAGTGGAGTTTCAACAAGAAAATGGGTTTATGTAAGCAGACCACTTACAAGTCAGCTAATTGGTCTGATAAACCTTATCCAACTTAGATTTCCCTTCTGAACCTTCCTGGAAAGAACTATATATTTTTTTTCACTAGCCTATACACCACTACTTTATGCATTCTTTTCCTTTGCTTAAAGAGCTTGGTCAGTTAAGGCTCTTCAGATTTTCTCCAGATAAAGGTCAACTAAATGTAATACTCTGAGTCAAGTTTTTCTATAGCTTTGTCTGAACCACTTCTCTCTCTACTTCGGGTAAAGGCTATTCTGTCTCCTAGTCGTATACCTTTGCTTCTCAGTTTGGCCCTCACTGCTATTTTGGAGGCTTCTCGTGTCATGTTTCATTTCTCATGTCTCCTCCCCCTTATGTATCAAATGTGATTTAACAACTTCTTATAGGATGAAGTTTATCCTAAACCCTTAAATCAGAGATTAGGTGATGAGGCAAGCCTTATGAAAGCCCTACATGCTTTGAGAAAATTTTATCCTTAATAAGAGTAGGATTCACAAGATGATTTATTTTGTCCCAGATTTTGGGTCCTAATGACCAGTCAACGGAGTTCTATTCCCCCAACTTTTATAGTGATTACTACATTTCTGAATTGCACTCTGTCCAGTCTAGATTTTAAATGCCTTAGATCAGGGGTTTCCTGCCTTCCTTTTATTGCCCACAATTGCTAGGAGCGCAGTAGTCAAGTAGCCAATTTGGTGCACCAGTTAACCAATCCCAATCATAATGGTTTTGTTTTGCATGCCCTGGATGCTATAATTTGGTATTTTAAAAGAGTGAAGCTACTAAAAAAAAAGAAAGGAAAGAAAAATTCCAAAACACAGCTGTATTTTATGTTCATCTGCTGTCTATAGGGATTTTTTTAAATGTGCAAAGGTAACTTCAGAAAAGAAAAGGGTTCTTCATTGTGCTATGACAGACAATATATATTGCCTGTCAAGCCAAGTGTCTTACGTAATTGACAGGATGCATACATCACAGAAGAGAGGACAAAATAAGGAATCTTAGAATCAGTACACTACACTTCCATGAAAAAAAGCTTCACCACCTTCATCTTCCTTTCTTGATTGTGTAAGTATTCTGTCCTATAACACAGAAAACTGCTATGGCATATGAATCATAGCAGAATGTGAAATTATACAGTGCCTTGTTCTCATAAGAAGCAAAAAGAAAAAGCAAAGACCCATAACAAAGAAAAATCTAGAATGAGCCCTGTGTGACAGGAATAATGGAACCATTTTCACACACACACACACACACACACACACACACACACACACACACACACACACACTACTT